AATTTGTACTACTGAATGAAACAAGTACCGTCAGTTAACGCTCCTGACTAATTCAAAAATTTGAAATATGGTCAATCCTCCTATCTTTTGTTCCAGGTGTTGAGGAAATAGCAAAGAAAGCTGAAGAAAGTTGAGGGATCTCCAGGATTTCTAGTTGGTTTTTTGGCTATCACTCAAAAACATGGAAAGCGACTTTCATTGGATACAGCACAATTTTGAGCGCGCTACCCCACTTACTGCATATGCCGCGCGGTGGGCCTTCAGCACTCCCCGACTGGAAATTAATCAAACTTCGTTTTCCAATGATAACTTGAGGAACAGCGCATTGGAAAAAAATTCAAAACATAATGAAAAGCTACCCAGAGTGGAGGTACTCTCACATCTAAATTTATTCTAGTGAAGAAAACTAAAACAGTTCGCCGATTTTTCTCGCGAAGTGACGACTTTGGGATGTCAGCGAAGCTCAAAGTAAATGTGAGAAAAAATGAAATATCATTCAGCTGCTTCAAAGTGGTCTTAAGCTCTGACAATGTGCAGTTGATAAGAAGCTGTCGATTCGTCAAATTCTAGTCGTAGTCTGAGGCTAGAAACGAAACTGATAACGGTTTCGGTCAGCAGCTGGTATGAACGGCATCGATCATTTTCTGTAGTGAGTTTACTATAACTTTCGATTGGAATCTGCTCCTTCATATTCGATCCCTCCTTTGATTTGCTTGAATTATGAGGTTTGTCTTGTTTGGATTTACTTCTGTCGAAAAACCCATATAATTTCTTTCTTCATCTATGCTTAATAAAATTGTAATAGAGAATGATAGCCTTCACGAAATGATGCATTGATATCGTTAAGCATCAGCCATTTGGCACTATTTACCCTTTACTGCCCCACTCCTCGAGAACTGAGCCGGGTTTTTATCGAAATTGTCATGACTGTGGATTTGGCTAGAAACTTGCCTTCAGGGGTAATTCGACCCGTAGAACACGAATATCACATTCGTTTACCGCTAGAACGCCTGGCGCTCGCGTCAGAAGCGCCGGCGCCAAAAGGCGCCAGAACATCTCGGATCACCAAATTCGCTGGAAAGTTGTCTTCAGAGGTACTTTGACCCGTAGAACATGAATATCACATTAGTTCGTTGCGAGTGAGCCTGTAGCCTGCGCTACGGGCGCCCGCGCAAAACTGTTGTGATAGCGCCGGCGCCTGTGGCCAAGCGTTGTCGCGCTAAACCGGTGTGATATTCGTGTTCTACGGGTCGAAATACCCCCGGAAACAACTTTCTAGCCAAATCCTTAGTCATGGACGAATTTCGATCAAAATCCGATTCAGTTCTTGAGGAGTGGGGCAGTAAAGGGTAAATAGTGCCGGGCACTTTTCTGTTCATTATTTCTGTGTTAGTTTTTGACCAGCAATCCGCCAATAAATTTCAGCAATTGATTTAAGTCCTAATGTGCTCTAAAATGGATTCATTTTCGCAATAGTCGGGCAGTGCAAAAGTAATACTCGAATTTAATTTAATTTAAATAATTTCTGTACCAAGGAAGTGAAAGGGACCACGTCAGAAACTGGTCGGCTCTTTTGAATGTACCGTATATCTACGTTAATAGTTCGCAACAGAAAGTGGGCACGCGTCCACCTTTAGCGAAATAACTTCGTATATGTATATTATATAATTCTAGGAGTAACCCTATACACGCAAGTGCAGAGGGGAATCCGGAGTTCCGAACTACGCCAACGATCGAAGATCAGGGACGCTGCCGTTTTCGCCAAGGAATCGAAGATAAGGTGGGCCGGACACGTCATGCGATTTTGCGATGACCGTTGGACCAGAGCGGTTACCGACTGGATCCCTCGGGACGTCAAACGAACACCTGGACGACCGCCGGCCCGATGGTCAGACTTCTTCACGAAAGCTCTGAACGAAAGGAATGAAGGACTTCGTGTCCCTCGAGCGAGGAGGATCCACTGGACAACTCTTGCACGCGACAGGGACGAATGGAGACGTTGCTGGCGCCCGCTCGAGCAATTCGATGATCAACGGGACGACAGGTGATACAGGTAAGTATTTATTGAGATGTTATGGAAGCGAGATTCGGTGGGAAAGTAGTGGTCTTCCAAGATATGGTCCCGGTTCAACAGGAAGAGAGATCTGGGATATTCCGACGCTCGTCGTCGTGGTCGACAAGTCGAATGCGTCTAGCTCCCTCACTTGGGGCATCGGTCGCCATATCACTGGTCGGCATCTGAATGTACACGTTCTGAGGAATGATCAGTGGATCGATTACTAAGTTACAAACAGCTAATTTCCTCCCGTCATACCTAAAACTGCAAAGTCATTCGTGTGCGTGATTAGCACGCACGCAATGTCTTTGAATACTTTTCGATTACAACTCAAATATCCAAATAAATGATCAGGCAAGTGCGAAAACCAAGCTGTTTCTATTTCGCAAGCTTGAATGTGGAAAGGGAGAACTAGGTCTGAGCCAGAGTTATGCGAGGTGTGAGGGAAATTTTATATGCTCAGAAGAGACTAAATGATCAGCTAAGCACGTCGGCTTGTACATATATCGAAGGACTTCGGATAATTTGCAATTTTTTGAGCCTTTCAAACTCCTCTGGATCTTTGTGCTAAACTTTTGGAGCCTCGCATCATTTTTATATGATCGAAATGTTTTACAGCAATGGTCGTTTTTCTGTTTAGAAAAGTGAAACAACCTTCGAAACCAAGGCAGCAATTCCTTTCTTTGAGCGCGGTATTGTTTTGATCAAGTCTTTAATCGTCATAGGTGGGTTGGACCCTTGCGCGCTGGGAACGTGATGATCCTTATACTTTTGGCATTTAAAGGGATCGATTACAACAGGTTAAAGAAGGTTTAGAGGAGAGAGTGTTGCTCAAGTGGTAGGCAAGTGGCGAAAAAGCGGAGAAATCCGTCAAGAAAACGCAAAACGGGACCCTTTTTTGAAGTAGGTTTCACTCATGAACAGGTGACAGCTCAGAAAGCGCATCGCAACGCGTTTGGTGGCACCATGCCAAACCACGCTCCAATCGAGTTGCTCCAGTTGTGCCGCTGCTGGCAACGCAGCTCGTCCAAATCACCAAGTAAACTAGTGGGCGGATCGCTTTTGGGGGCGGAGTGCTTTCGAAGTCCTGCTCAGCAACCAGCGCACCTTTCGTCGTGAAAGCGCTACACCTCGCTTCCCTGGCAAAGTAACTGATTCGTGTGGTGCATATGCTTCCCCGATGCGCTCCCTCTTTATCGTAATCGCTGTCTTTAAGGAGATCATCAAAACCGCGCAGCTTTGCAGCCATTGTCACTGTTTTCAACAAACGACACTGAATTAATAAGATACTTGTTAGCCTGAGCTTTTCCATAATGGAAAAGCTCTACTCTCAACTGCCTTTTGACCTACTTGATCAAACGAAACGTGTGAAAACTATAACCATTGTGAATCCCGCGTAAAATTCACTTTCTTCAGGACCGCTCATTAGGTGATGAGACAACTTCTTATCTTTACTGTTATATCAACCGTATGTTCGTTAAAGTGCAAGGATATAATCATCGGGAAAGCTAACGGCTCTTCTTTCAACTTTGTGAACACACTTCGTTGCCCTCTGGAATCCAAATGGTGCATAAAGTGAGCGCAGGTTTTTTTTTCAAAGTTTGATATTTTTAAATTGAGTTCTTGTTGTTGTTGTTCTCTGTTCTTTTTGAAAGGATGTTTGAAGGTAAGCCCCGTTATGGACAGGTGTGTAAAAGGGAAAGTAGGGGTGCAAGGTGGTCTGTAAGTGAAAAAGAAAGCAAAAGAAACCATTAGAAAAAATTTAAGGACTGATCTACTCAACATTATTTTACCTAAACTCTCTGTAAGATCGGGTATGGTGAGATGGAGACTCACTGCGAAAACTGAAGGCATCATACCAGAAGAATCTTGCAAGAAACATAGGGAAGTTGCGGTCTCTCTTTACTACCAGCCACGGTCGGTATTCGAGGGTATCGGAAAGATCCCAGCTCCCCTGTTGCGCTCCGAACGGTGTCAGTGGTGTAACGGCGACGTTCATCAACAGCTATCTTCACCTACCAAAGTGGCATCATAGAACTGCACACGATCCCACAGGCGGAATCCTTCATGCTTAGTCAAGTGACCTGAAAGGAAGGGTCCTTCGACGTGGTTCGTGCAGTCAGCGGTGCTGCCAACATATTGGAGGGCACGTACAATCTACGAGGGGAACTCTTGCACAGGACTCTTTAGCTCTCAGCAAAATGCGGATTCTACAGTAAAAGGCAGCTAATCAGAAATAAGGATAAATGTGGTCAGCGGTGCAGATTTGAAGAAAAATCATGAGAAACGGCAAAGAACACGAGAAATGGCCCCTACTAAATTCTGCACGTTACATGCACTCCAACCCCTCCCCGGGCGCTTCTGCGAGTTCCGCATCTTAGCGTCAGGTGTATACTGCCTGAAATCATAAGCGTAGTGGGTCTGTGCGTCTCCAATTGAATCTAACTATTCGTTGATCTTGCAATCTTTCACGGTGAGAGTGCTTAACGGTAGAGGGTCAGACCGCGCACTCTAGACTGGATAGCCACACGTGAGGTCGAACGTCCATAAGTGAATCGCGCGATGCGCGGGATTGCTAGAGTTAGATCGTGGAGGCTGCCTGAAGTACTGTCTTATCGTGCGTGAGACAGCGCAGATGTATAGGTGACATAGCTTATCATTGCTGGTAACGCAGCACGCTTATTTAGATCTTAGTGCTCATGCGTTCGTTGTCTTCTCACCCTGAAAGGTTTTATACTATCTCTCGCGCTGTCATTTCGCACGGGACCATTAGAATTTATCGGTGAATCTCACCTTTGGGCATATTTAGCAGGGAGGGGGCAAAAAAGACATTTTGCCTTACCTGAGCGTCAACTGAAATTTATGCACTACCGCTTCGCTCAAAGCCACAAAGCTTGTGCTCCCCCAACTTAGAATTGAAGAGCGCACTTCATAAGAAAATCTTCATAGTGGCTATCTAGGTGGACGGCATCAGAAAAGTTTGCCCTGGAAACATGGTGCTCTGGTAGAGCTCAATGGGTTCTCAACTGATCGTGTACCTTTACGACGGGTTCCGGAGGGCGGTTTGCGAGGCTTTGCACAGTAGTTGGAGCTAATTTCCCTGGGAAACTATCCCACGTTGAATCGAATCCGAAAATTATGTACGAGTTCAAGGCTGACACTGTAGGCCTCCCTGAGCTCGAAAACGGTCACAGATGACGTCGTATGATGGAGGCACGAGGGTAGTGAAGGACGGCCTGTGTGCTCCTATAGAGGAACATTTATGGAATATTTTACTGAGGAAATTCCGTCAACGACGGCAATGTCTGCGAAGAAAAAAGGCCGAAGTGCGAGCCGGGAAAAATGTTTTTTTTGACCCCTGTGTAATTTTCCTCGAATTTTCTACTCTCTAGAATTTCCTTTCTTAAAAGCGTCTATTTTGTCAGCACCATGTATCACTATAGCGCAAAAGCAGCTGTCGCAATTAATCTGTCGTGGAATCATTCTCGTTCAAAAGGAATGGTAGCCCCTTGTATGTAGTAATCGAGCTTCCACTGAAGAAGGAGAATTTTCCGCCGTCGACAGCAGTTTCTGAATTCTGGCTGCAGTGAACAAAGTGCCCAATAAATGGCTCCTTCGCCAATCATTCCACTTCTTACCGGGGATCAATCCTAAGTGTAAAGAGAGAGTTGAATGTTTCCTTCTCCTGGAAGATCGACGAATTCAATTTTGCATTTTTTGGATTTTTCAGACAAATAGTCAGTTTTGAAGTTGATCCTCACTGTCTGTGGTGAAACACACTAAATACTCTTCGGTTATAGGGCCCGTACCATTAATACTGTCAGAGAGAGGGCAATTCGAAAGCCTTTCTGCAAGGTATCTTCAGTATGGAAGCATGGAAATTGAATTTAACTCATGTTGACAATTTTTACAACTTGTAAATTAGTTTACATGACTCAGTGCCTCGGGCACAAAGTTCAGCATTCCAGCCTGAAAACGCGAGAAGATGATTCAGTACCCGGCTGAGCGAAGGTTCTACCCATCATTCGTCACCTTTGTGATTAAAGGCAAGCTTCGGGATAAAATGGGTGTGGAAAAGCGTTCAGTTATGAAGCTAGAGGTGGGAGGTGGTCTGGAAAAGAGAAGGAAAGCAAACGAAACCACCGATTACCTCCCTATTTCAGCCGCATTCCACCTTGGGATAGAGAAGGGGCGTGTTGGACGAGTTTCACGAACCTAGCTCCAGTTGCTCCAGTGCCAATGACATTGACCGCAACCGCTGCCTCAAATGCGCCGCGCTTTTCAAGCAGCGCCACGTGGCAACCGACAGCGGAGGGTGGGGCTTGCGGACGAAGGTGTGAGTTGCGGGTCGGACGAGCTCCTTGCGCCTTTGTCGCGCACTTTCAAGCGGCAAAAGGGGCGCGACATCAACGCTTGTCCGCCTGTCTACTACCCCCGGGATGGAACAGGCGAGCGCGCCTAATCCCGGAGCGTGCCTTTAACGCTAGCATCACGAACTGTTTTGAAAAACAGCGGTTGACAAAAAGAAGAATAGCAAAAGCACTGGCTGTGTTCATTAGCCAGTGAGCCGAAAATAGAACACTACTTTTAGCGGCTGATAGTATTTCTATTTGAATATACTCTGTATATCCACCAAGCGCGTCTACTGGACGTATGAAAATAAATAAACAAATAAATAAATGTGTAGCTGTGTAGCCTATGAGAAAGGCGCAGTTCGCAGTATCCAGAAGGCTAGAGATTTGAGGTCCTCTGTCCTTTATTCTTCCAGAAATCTCCTGCAAATACCCTCTTTGTAGAGGTTTTGCAATGAGATCACGACATTTTGATCCGACCATTAGAAGCAATAAAATTACCTGCTATTATATTTCAGCATGAATGTCAGTTTCCATTCGCCTATATACTCAATCGAAGGCCTCTTTGGTAATTGCGATTCAAGTGGTTTCATTGGAGCATTGCTCAACTTCACAAAACCGATGGCGGACCTTTCATGCAAGGCTAGTCACATCTTTTATTTTATTTTTTTTCGGATTCGTGTCATTTTTGAAAGTGAATAAATAAATAAACACTGTAGTAAGAGAGCCACAGGGGTTGAGTTATTCAAAAGGTGATAAGCGTCTTTTATAGTACACTCATCTCTTTTGGCTAAGGGAGGGGCAAAAGGCATAGGTTCGGCCTACTTGGTTGCTTCCACGAGATAGCCATTCGCTTTCCACAGGCAGCTTTGCATAGACTTTGGCTGAGTATCTCTAAATTTTTTCTTGTCAGTAGTTTGAAACTATTTCTTTATAATCCACATTATTTTAGACTGTCGGTTGGGAGTCCTATCCAGAAGCGAACGCAACGAGATACTGCTGCAACACCGACCTTTGTAATTCTTCTACCAGATTTTCTGTATTCGTTCCAGTTTTCGTGCTCTCTTTATTTAAATTGTTGTGACCGCAAAAAAAATCAGCAAAATTTATTGCATACCTAACAATTGTTATGATTTCCCCTTTTCGCTCAATTCATAAAACGTGCGATGACGCTGCCGTCAGCAGTATGACAATATCACATAATGCAGAGAGAAATTCCGCAGGTATACCTGCAGGAGAAACCTCCGAGTTACGGGCCGCAGCAGTGTCGGCAGCATATGCTGCCGACACGCCCACTCGTCCGTGATTGGCTACCACCACACGGGTTACTGTGTGCAGACACGAGCCAGCCAGTCATAGACTAGTGGGCGTGCCGGCAGCATATGCTGCCGACACTGCTGCGGCCCGTAACTCGGAGGTTTCTCCTGCAAGACTATCTGAGTAGGACCTGGAGGTGTGTCAAATGTTCGACATGCGAAACACTACGCCGGCTCAAACTTGCGGCAGTAAGTTCAACTCGTCCCGACGGCACTGATTTTCTGCTCTCTCCTGCGACCTGCGCTGCGAACTATTGCTAAATATTGTTTTGCGACTGTGTATTCGACTGTGGATCAATAACGCAACACCAGGTTTGTCAAGTTCTGGCGCTTTGGCGATTGCACCATTTCGGAAAGCCCAGGTGTCCCCTCTGTGCAAGTTGGAGCACAGAAATATAGAAGGCAACGTCTCACTTAGCAAACAACTGCAGTTTTCGTGCAAAACGTGTGGGTTGACGAGAGGAGAATTTGGCGTCATTGGAGAGCTTCGAGAAAACCCGCAAATATTCTCGTGGGCGGTGCACGGGTGAACATTTGGTACACACCTCAGGAAGCGCTATGAAATTTCTACTGTTCCATTTTGTAGAGGAAATCGTGATTTGCGAAAGCTGTTATATCTATTGTGCCATTCAGTGCACAAAAGCAGGCAGTCACATTAGTTGAAAGAAATTTGTGAACGTTCAGATAATATTAATGGTGTAAATAAAATGTCTGGTGAATTTTGACTTGTTTTCGATTGTAGGTTGCTGTTTTTGGCCACGTAGATCTTGCAAATGTTTTACAAGAATGCTAAGTAAGCAACAAAACTCTTCGCCTCAGGCAGAAATCGAACCCGCATTCCTCATTTGCCAAGCCCACTAGATGGGCCACTGACTAGCCCTGGGACACTTGAGCGAACTTTTGATGGTGACCACCATAGCTGAATAGAATATGCCACCAGAAGTTGGATTTAAGTAAAGCAGTGCCCAATAGTGTAGCCTACTCGCTTAATTGCCTAATCGAGAATATCCCCCTTCCTTATAGATTAGTCGCCTAATCGCATAATCGCAAGTCGATTGCCAGTTCTGAAAGCTACATAAGCGGCCATTTTCTTCCATGGCTTCACTCACCTTTGCTCTAACACCTTGTGGAATGTTAGGTGGTTGTCTTGCATAGAGATTGGAGAGTGCTGTTACAATCAAATTCTGGAATTCGCCATTGCGGGTCCGTTAGATTGGTAACGCAAGATCAAATGACTTCCTATGTATTTATGTTAACAACGAGTTTTTCTCATCAATACCTTTTTTCCACAGGGTGACTTGATCGGTTCTTCTACATCTATTTCATGATCTACAGATATTGAGTCCTATGGACTGACAAACAAAGAAGCAGAGAAGTTAGTGAATTGTAGTGTAATAGAGCAGTACTTACTTGTCATATCGAACACTTACTCTCTTTGATCGTTGTCAAGCTGACAAGGTCAGTCGTACAACAACAGAGTATGCGCCACAATTCACTCAGGCCAAAAGCTACCTAACCAAATGATCGCAGATGAGCAAAGAGACTTGCAAGAACGCCGAAGAGATTACAATAAAGGATCTAAAAATGAATATGTACAAGCCTTCAAGAAAAACCTGTTCACAATCGGAGATCGCTGAAACGTTCAAGGGCAATCGTGGAGGCAAATCTAGAACTCTGAAGATTACAGAGGAACCTGGAGGTGATATATCGCGCAACAGTGGCAACGCATTCAAAGCAATTTGGGAAAGCAGAAACTGTGTCGTATAAACAAATCGAGATATAAAGTTACACGTTAGACTTGCGAATCGCGCGATTCGCTAGCGTCTGCGGTCGCGTCGCGGCCAGTGAATCACTCAATTGGCTGGTACCGCAACGCGACCGCGGACGCTAGCGAATCGCTCGATTCGCAAAGTCTGACATCGGCCCAAGTGTCTCTCGATGACGTGGAAGCGGTTCGCGGAAAGGCTCTGTGCCGTTCTAGGGTAGCGCTGTGCGCAATAATTCAGAAAAAATTTGGGGTCTCTTCCTCACCCTATTCCCGACCCTTCCCTCTAGGATTATGTGCTTCAATGGTGTTCATGTCCTAGCACAGGAACACGTGCGCCGTGAAGGGGGGGGGGAGCAAAAAACATTTCCGTTGCTCATTGGTCCTCGTAGTTCATGCATCTACCATGATGACATGCGTTCATTATCGAAGCATTGACAATTAGTCATTTATTCTTTTATATGGTGTAACTAAGGTGAACTAAAATAATTTTTATCACATAAATGCAACAGGGCATTAAAATAAATAAACCATAGAAAATAATATACTATGATAGTATAGAGATCATGATCTGCAACAGAGGGTATGAAGAGGGATTATGAGCTGATTTCTTAGGTACTCAGTTTTGTTTATAAAAATATGGTTATTCGGTGTTTTGAATTAGTATTAGCCCCTGCAGACTTATGAACATTATTTATAATTAAAGCCCATAAGTGTGGGCAAGAATTGAGTGACAGTAAGGCTATTTACCTAAGTGAAACTCAATTCTTAGTACGGTTCTCTAGTAGGTCGGGTACATAGTGAACTATGCTTCTCTTCCCACAGGCTTATCGCTGCGGCACCCTCTTGCCGGCTGACAAGTTTTCAGTGGCAAGTTGGGAAACTGGCAATTGTCAGCATTGTTTGCTCACATAAGTCGAAGAACGAACTCCTACTCAAACATCCCCATGCGCGCGTTAGGCAAACAAAGGCATGGCCCATGGCCCATAAGGCACGAAATGCTGCAATGCATTTTAGCATTAGTGAAATGTTGGGCGATATAATGAAAGAGAGGGATTCATTACGCCTTTACAAATGAACTTATGAAAAAAATGGATTCTTTTCCCACCTTACAGGTGTACAAAGTCAAGTGGACTATACGACACACTGCAACTCATCGATTTTAACGTGGCCCTAAATTTAAGTCGGGATGCAATGAGTTCCTTCAGTTAGAAAAATTTGAAAACTTCAAAAAAATAAGTTTGAAGAAAGTTGAAAAG